TTAGCTGCTGTTAGCCTCTGTTAGATTCCACTGACCTTTGTTAGCTGCTGTTAGCCTCTGTTAGATTCCACTGACCTTTGTTAGCTGCTGTTAGCACTAAAAGAGGCTAACAGAGGCTATTTTTTTTGCTGGTGTTGCTTGCTGTTCACTACTTTTAGCCTCTGTTAGCTGCAGTTAGTCTGTGTTATCTGCTGTAACTCTCTGTTAGCTGCTTTTAGCCATATTAGTAAAAGTAATAATGAACTATAAACTTTGCAGCCAGTGTTTAGCCACATATTTTAGAGCATGAACGGATAGAACAGCAATCTCCATGTTGGCTACTTTTTCAGAATACACAATTACAATTGCACAATCTATGCATGCAGCCAGGACTGCTGAGCAGCTAGAAACCTCCATCAAACCAGAACAGGACAGCGTTCCTCTGTGAGCCCAGCAGCTGCTGTTAGCTCTCAAACGTTTACAGACTGATGCACAGTGGAAACATGAGTCTGTTCCAACTTTTAACAGTCTCATTTTAAACTTTTTATGTTTTCTTTGTTCTGTTGTGAGTAAAATATGGGTTTACCAGCTTTGCAAATCATTGCATTCGTTTGTTATTTACACAACGTTTGTTGGGGTTATATTGTTTTTTTATTCTTCTTTATAATTAAAAGAAGGAAATGTAAGTTGCTGTCATTTATAATTGAATGAAGGGTCTTTATAATTTATCACTCTCATTATGATCAGTTATAGCAATCATTCATTACTAAGTGAGCAAACACACCATCTCATCTGGAGGCAAGCAGAGGATTAAATCCAGTCTGTATGTTTGTGGACTCACCTGTGATGGTATTAACTGACAGAAGCTGACAGCAGCTGTCAGCTGGTGCCTGATTTCCATGAAGACATTCCTGGTCCACGGAAATTTAAGGGTGCGTTTGAAAGATTTGAAGCGAGTCTGGCCTGAAATTGATTCTGTTTCTAGTACTTCATCTTCCGAGCATCAGTGGATCAGAGCCTGTCGTCCTTTGAGCTTCCACCTCCGGCTTTTCTTGGTAGACTTGTGGTTAAGAAGTTTCTGTTTTGGGCCCAAAGGGTCTCTCTGGGTCTCTCTCCTGACCTTCAGCTTCTCTGTAAATAATTGATCAGCGTTCATTCAGCCACAACTGCAGGAATGAAACCCAATACAGGGACTGCAGCGGGCGAGGAGGAAGAGGAGGAGGAGGTGCTCACAGCGCCAATGATTTTACACGAGCAGCCGAGGTTTGAATAATTCAGAGTAGACATAAAATATTTTAATGTCTCAAGTTTAAATGTTGATGCCACCCAATATTTGTTGAATTTATTAGGATGTTTTAATGTCTTTACTTTTTATTGCTGACTGAATGAAGTATTTGGATGCTGGATATACAAATTAGCTCGACGCCAACTCTCCTGTAATTGTGATGAACTGTCCTCCACACGACCCGAGATAAACTCAGTCACACATTTCAACTAATGAGCTCCTCGTCTTCTACAAGCAGCCAGAAAGTCAAAGGTTTATGTTCATAAATCCTCAGAGTCTACACATTCAAAGGAATTAAAAATAATTTGATCAGAGTGGACTTTAAAAAGCTTCTCGTGTGGAAACAGATAGGATCACTCACCTTCTCATCCGGAGGAGATCCTGAAGCTTTCAGCTCCTCGCTCTGCCTCCAGTTATCTGAGGCTTTAATTAGAGAGAAAAGTGAATGAATCAGCCCCTCCTCCTCCAACCCGTCCACTCTCTTCCCTCCATCATCACCACCATCAGCTCTGATTCATACAGTAAATACTAAATAAACAGAGAGCTGAGGGGTAGACCAAACACTATCAGCTGTGTTGAGTGTGATCAAACACGGCAGCGGGATCAGTGTTCAAACAGCCGCGGTCTCCTCATTCTTGTCACATCCCCTCCTCCTGTTAAACACGGCCAAAGTTTATAACACCGAGCTCAGTGTATGACAGTTTATCTCAGTTTTTTCTTCTCCCAGATCTCTGTGATGTCATAGTAAGGAAATACTTCTAATATAGTCATCTCAGACTGAAGAACTGTGGGCTGGAGCTCGAAACAGCAGCTCCACATCAAACAACCGATGCACTGATCCAGGATCTGACAATACAAGCTGTCTGCTCCCATAACCACCAAGTCTTTGATTCATTATTTGGGAAGAAGTGGAGCCAGGATTTTTATGACCTGCAAATCCCAGAACAAAAATAATAATCATAATAATGATTTTTCTGATTATTTTTTTTACATTACCTGATAAAACCTAACTATAAACTCTATGAATAATAGAAGTGATAAGAACCAAGATGTTTAGGGCTGCATACAATAGTCTGAAGATAAAACACCTAATTTATCCTGCAGGTGTTTATGTGTCTAAAACAGGGGTGGAACTCCAGGATGTGTCCTTGATCCATCGCAGCCGATTTCAATGGCTGGTAATGAACTAATCATGTGATTCAGGTGTGTTGAGCCAGGGTGAGATCTAAAACCTGCAGGACACCGGACCTCGAGGCCTGGAGGTCCCCACTCCTGCTCGAAGGCATTAAAATTAACAAAAGAAGTGATTTTGTGTCTTTGCAGATAAACCTGGGTATCATCTGCATAGAAATGCACATATATGAAGAACTACAGCAAAGCACAGTAATATGACGTCATTAAGTTTTGCTTTTGAAAATATATTTCAGAATTAATGTTTACATATACAAATATATTTGTAGTTAATTTTATTTACATTTTAAAATACTTCTCCAAATATTCTTAATGTCACGGTGAAATGATTAACAGCCTTGTATCAGTGTCATAACCTTCCACAACCTCAAAACAGCACATTTCAGTGTGACTTTAAATACTTTAAAGCACATTTCTCATTACAGTACATCGCTTTCAATGTAAATGACATTCAGCTTCTTATCACAGGCACGAGAGCACAATGCTAAATATCCTCGACTACTGTTTAAATGACTACTGTGCTCATGAAAACAGATTCAGGGAGTTATTTAAAGCACATGATGGATGAGATGCAAAACATTTAGTTTTAAGAAGAAAATGAAAGTAAGGCAGCAATCATGGCACATAGTTGGTTATATTCAGTGGATTATTCCCTTACATTTAAAGTAAACAACGATAGCGCGATCACAGACGGTACCTGAAGAGTTTAGCATCAGTTAAAGAGGAATTTCACCACTGTGACAGAAACGCAACTTTGTTAGTCTGAAGTTGTTTCAGTTATTTATTTTCTGCTTTAATGTGATGATGACATCAAGTTTGGGTGAAATTCCCCTTTAATTAAAAAACAAAACAAAAACTAAGTATAATGTCCAATAATCAAGATATCATGTAAGCTCTTTAATTCCACGTGCTTATATCTGTGTGCTGTTCCCTTTTTATAGTAACAGGTAAAAGTGGTTCAGTAAGTAACACAATAAAACTTAAATAAGATAAGTTAGATCCCTTTTGTTGATTATGTCTAATTAGTCTCGCCGCAACTCAGAGAACACAGCGTTGGAGAAAATATGTGAAAATGGGATTTTTTTAGATGAAATTTGATCACCAAACTCCCAAATCTGAACGTAATGTTAGGAGTCAGAAAGTTGACCAATTTGACTTCGATGAGGATGTTTGAACCGATGAGTCACTGAGCTTTCAGCACGGTGTAAAGTAACACCGTTTTACCAAAATGCATCTTCTAAATGAACTGAGTAACATTCGTTGTCTAAGGTCCAAAGTTGGACAGGCCTAGAGACCGGTTGGCAACCACCTACCAACCACCAGGTGCAACAGAAAAATTTGTTTTAACCAACTGTGAGGTTGCTGGAGGTTGGTAGATGAGCTCAGAGGAAGACACCGACAAGCCTCTTTGTGGTTGGTTTGGCAGGCTGTCGCTCCCAGCTGTGATGTGACTTCTCTTCCTGTAAACACTCGACCAACAAGCCGAGTGGTAAAGCAAACAGGAAAGTGCAACACAAACCTGAAACCTCCACAGTAAAAGTTGCACCTTTTGAAATGTGTTGTTTTCAGTAGTAAGGTACAACTTTTACTTTGAAGGAGTTTCCTGTTTGCCTTTCCCGACCGCTCGGCTCAGTGTGAATGTTTGCAGACATGTTGTTGTCTTCAACACAAACGTGGCAACCAAATCAATCACAGGGAGGTTTTTGGGTGCAGCGCTCCCTTTGCAACCCATTTTCACCCAGTGATAACCAGCAACCAATCACCACTTGGTGGGAATATACATGTACTGATAGCAACCGCAGGTTTCCAGGGGGTCGCTCACCACAGACATTTGACTCGTGGGTTTATCAAAGTCATTGTTTTTGGTCTGCTGACCATGATTATGTCTCCCAAATTTCATCCTGTAGCTTTTAAGACCTGTGTCTCAAGGCAAAAACACGGTTACAGGCTGTTTGACGAAGACAATGGATCCTCTGAGGAACATAAAGTCTCCACAAAAATCCTCTTGTAGGACAGAGTGAGGATAATAACACCGTGCTACCACGGTGGCTTAAAATGAGCATTTAGAGGAGCACAGGTATCAAAAAAGATTTGAAAAGCTCCAGCTTTCTCCAAACGTCACAGCAAAATATACTAACCTTTCCCAAAATGTCAGTTTCATTTTCAGAGGCCGAGCCTGTAAATCTGTGGTGCAGATGAAGACCCCTGTCATGCAGTTTTGGAGCAGAACGATTTAGTGATCCTGGAAACATGCTGAGAAAATGCTGCATGAACATGTCACCTGCTGAAAAACATGAAGAAGATTATCTGAGGTTTCCGTACAAGGGACTTAATAGATGACCAATCAGAAGAGAGTGTGCTTATAGAGAGGCGGGCCTTAAAGGAACATGAGCTCCAAGGATTGTTTGAGGCTGAGGATGAACTCGGGGCGTCGCATACGGAGCTGCTGTGAGATGAACGAGCTGCTCCAACAACAGAAACATAACAAGCCCGATTGTCAGGAGTCAGAACAACGACCGAGACTTCGGTTTAGACTGTCACAAGCCAGCAGCTGATTGGCCGTCCCGATGAATGAATCTGACTTCACCAAAAAAACCCTCCAACATCTGAGCTCTGTTATTAATGTTATTCCAGGATCATGTCATCGTCGTTTCTCTGGATGATGCTGATTGGTCAGTTTAGATGAACCGGCAGGTTGTCGCTGACGCAGTAAACAGCTGAGGGGCTGACACGCCCGAGCAGTCAGCCTGGTCCCAGAGAGGCTGAAAGAAGGAGCACTGGGCAGAGACTGTGCGAGGCGTCCGCCATGCCGTTCTGGCGTTAGGTCAGGTCCTGGACGTCCAGCAGCATGGCGTCCTGCTTCGTCCTCAGCTGGTCTCGTACCAGGAGGTGGGCCACCAGCTCGGAGCTCAGAGCTGGAAAACAAGCAAAGCAGAGTGAGGGCTAACACGAGGCGTTTGTCCCCAGAACAAAGTGGAAGAAATTTCTGAGCCCGGTAGAGTCAGAGGCCACAACAAGGTGAGGCTGAGAGATCAATCAGGTCTGATTATTAAAACCAGACAACTGTGATCAAATGCTCCACTTTTCACAGAACAGCTCTGATTTTTGTGTCATAAATGAAACGCACCTGTTTCCTTCACTGCAGCACAAAACAGCCTTCAGTCTACAGGCTCTACAGGAAGTAAAGTCTCAGGGCTGTGGAAAGATTACTGACAGCTGCGATTAGCTTCACATCTTTTCTATTCAAAGTTTTAAAGTCTTCACGACAGACTAAAAGATTCACTATGAGGCTAATGAGGAATGTCATTACTTAGAAAACCAGCCTGGCTTTTCCTGCAAATGGTAAATGGCCTGTATTTACTCGCTTTACTAGTCCCTAAGGACCCCAAAGCGCTTTTAAACTACATCCAGTCATCCACCCATTCACACACTGGTGATGGCAGCTACATTGTAGCCACAGCCACCCTGGGGCGCACTGACAAATATATAATTAACACAAATATATAAATTTGTTTCTTTATTTTCAAGAACAAATCTGTTGGACGTAAACCTAACAGAGACAAAGTTGTGAAATAAAGATCGACTCTAAATGAAACCCAGATGTGAGGCTGTGAACAGCATCGTTGTGTTTCCGTTAAAGCTCTGCGTACCGTGAACGTCTCGTTCCAGCGACGCCCTCAAGCTGCCGAGCTGCTGCAGCGAGCGTTCCTGCAGCTCCCAGCGCTCCAGATGTTTCCGCTGGGCCACGCAGCTGCTGCCAGCCAGCCGCTGCAGCAAACACACACACACACACAGATGAGCTTCAGGTCATCGATCTGCTGGTCGGGCTCGGGCTCGGACTCACCTCCTCCTTCTGTTCGGCCAGCAACTTGTCTCTCAACGTCCTCAGAGCCGTGGCCACTTCCTGTTTCAACCCAGCGGCATGGCAACCATTGTGCCCTGTTCCCTTTGTGACCTGACAGGGTCAGAGGTCAGAGGTCAGACTGTGGATAGCACCTGTTTGTGACTGTGTTTTAACCTGAGCATTAGGAAGTGGTGAGGTAAAGGTGAGCCTGTCTTCAGAAAAACAGCAACAAGACTCGCTGGAGAAACGCTGCCCCCTGCTGGTGACAGCTGCCGTTACGTTCTGCAGCAGATAATCACAAAAAGTAACTTTAATAACAGTTAGAGTTACACTCCTTGTGCAGCGGTGTGTTCAGACAGTGACGAGTGAGAACACGAGTTAGTGCCTGATAATGACTCAGAGACAAAGGAAAGGATTCCCACATGGAGCCCAGAGAACTAATCGTTTAACCCTCAGTGACTTCCAATCAGTGTTTCAGCTTCTTTTTTAAATTTGATCTCTCTGTACAATGGACTTCGAAAACTCTAAAGGTTGACCCCATTTTTCCGCGTGATCGAGCTGTTCTTTATTTTTATTGTTGCCTGGTGATGAACTGATGTTCTCCTGCTCTGGCCGGACTCTCCTGCAGATCTCTGGCAGTAACACTGGCTCGGCTGCTGCTCTCAAATGTTTAGCAGTGTCTAAATATCCTTTGAGAAAAGCTGTGTCCACACCCAGCTTTGCTGCCACTCTGCTAGAGGTTCACAGATCCCAAAAGCTTAAAATGTTCAGTGATTACAAACAGCAACACTGGAAGGTTTCCTGAACAGACAAACTCTCCTTTCACTACATGAAACTTCTGAAGCTTAGATTCTGAATCAGTTTGTTGCATTTGCAGTAAAATCTGTCCCTGATCTGTGTCCTGAAACTCGCTGCAGCAAGCAGAGCAGGAAGCACCTTTTTATTGGCCCCCTCCTCCTCCTCTTCACTGTCGCTGTTGTTGATGAAGCACAGCTGCAGGTTTCTGTGGTTGTGAAATCTGTAAACAAATAAAATGCTTTATTTTCTTCACAAATGAGAGGGGAAGAAACGGTCATCAGCTAGCTGCAACTCATGGCCGAATCCACAGACGGTAACGGCACGGCCACGCTAGAATAAAAACAGGACGGCAACCTCCCCGTGACTACGGAAACTCAGTGGTTGCCAGGTGACCAAACTTATAACTTCAGACTGCCAACATGTTGCAGTCAGTCTGTAACAACTGTTATTACAGCACAGCACCACTAGGGGGTGTCATTCTAATATCGTGGTAGGACGAGAGACCCCCAGAGTGAGTACACCCCGTAGCCATTACAGTCGAGCTGGCTACTAACTTCTCACCTCTTTGTGAGGAAGACCATATCCCTGCAACGGGCTGACGCCAGCATCTGCCTCACCACAATCATTTATGCGACGCCACACGTTACCGGACGGTAACTTTAGCTGGAATTTACCGTGATTTGAAAACGTTCTGCTGAGTCATCGGATTATCAGAATTTGGAAGAATTATCCGACCGTATGCATCGATTTGATGCTGGAAACAAAAACATCGCTAATTTCTTGCAAAGATGATGAAAATGCATCTGGAGGCTTCACGGTGGGACCTCGCTAACCAGCAAGTGTTGCTCCCTCCATCCTGCATGATGGAGCACCGGTGTAGGAGCGAGCTGGCCTGCGAGGTCACCGTCATCACTGGGCAACACTTTGACAGATTCAAACCAACAAACACGAACTCAACAAAAAACAGAGATTATCCACGACGCTTCATTACCGTGACGTAACAACTGCCACTCGACACCTCCTGAAGTCTTCCTCCTCCTCTTCCCCCCAGACGTTGCTCCACACACCATCTGGATTTCCCTCCGTCCTCAGCCCCGCCCCTCTCTGCAGGAAGACAACATTACCTGAGGATAATTCTCCACCGATCACCTGACGACTAACCATCAACATCCAGGACTGAAAAATGAAGCATCAAAAGTTGCAGTTCCCCCGATGACCACTAGATGCTCTAAAGGTGCATCCAGGACTTGGACTGGAAGGTTTAGTCTTATTGGTTGCTGTGTTTGGTTGCCTTAGTTTCAGTATTTTGGTTTAGTTACAGAAGTTGACATTTAGTTGCAGGCATTGCTGGCTTTGCACTGGTTTTGTTGGTTCAGTTGCACAAAAACTTAGTGTAGCACTGTTGCTCTAGTTGCAGCAGTTGGTTTAGTTGCTGAAGCTGAGACTATTTTGTGTTGCTGGTTGCAGGGGTTGGTTTATTAGAAGACGTTGCTGTGTTTAACTGCAGGTGTGAAATAATGTTAAATTGTTATGAAACTACAAATATGGTTCCTACTGGCTTTAAAAACCAACCATGAACTAACGTTGGCCTTTCAAAACTTAGTGAGTGACGCCACAGTGGTCACGTCCATCTTTTATATACAGTTTATGTTGACAACAAACCACTCAGACTGGTTTCAGATTTTTCTGTGCAGCATAGCAAGGGTGAAAGAAAAAAGTACTCCAGCAGCAGCAGATTCTCACCAATCACAGGAAATGTAGTAAAAACTAAAGTGTGATGAGTATCAGCCCAAAAAGCAGCACAGATAAGAGGCTGTCGCCCAGAGCAAATAGGAAACTGATGTTGGGAAGTTCTGAGTGATCGTCGTGTCACCAGAGAACGTTTAAACATGCAGCTGTGACACCAGGTCGTTGAACCACCTCCTCCTCCTTGTTTTAGCTCGGTGTGGATTACGGCAGCGGCTCTTCAGACACAACAAACACGATCTCATCCTGTTCAGGATCGAATTAAAAAACAGGGGAAACGGCAAAGACTATCAGGAACAAGCTCCTCAGAGACCTGAAGTAAAGAGCAGAGGGGGGGCAAACCATGCTGGATACTACATTTCCCACAATGCAACTGAACAGCAGCAAACTAAAAATTTGAAGTGAAGCTTCTCTTTCAACCGGCACTGTTTACAGATGGGCAGTTTCCTGCGCTCAGCTCTGCCGGTTTAATTCTGCTCGTATTCCTGCAGATTCTGCTCTCAGGCTCTAACGCTTAGTTCCAGGTTACAGCCTGAAACTATGGAAACCACAGCTGGCTACGGATTGTGTGTGCTGCCCAACCTGTTGCCCAGTGGCTGCTGAAGGTTGCTGGCTGTTGCTAGGTGGTCGCTAAGAAGGCGACGCACCAAAAACCGCCTTGTTTTTGCTTGTTTTTGTTTTTACTTTAAAATTCGCACTGACTAACTGCTGGAATCTCTAGTGGACATTAGATGAACTGCAGGTTTTGGTGCTTGATTTTTCCTTCTTTGTCCAGCGAAGTGCATCATGGGAAATGTAGTCTTTCCCACTGACTGAGAAACAGAGCCTCAAACTCTGAACATTATCTATAGCTGACCTTTGACCTTTCCCTCCGCTCCTGCTCCTGTTTCTCCAGCTCAGCTATCCGCTGGCTCAGTTCCTCCCAGTGCATGATGGGAAGGTCCTGGTCCAGAGAGGATGCCTCCATGGGGTGATCCTGATGAAGCTCCTTCTCCTCCCCCTCCTCTTCCTCCTCCTTCTCCTCAGACGTCTCTTTCTCTCCCTCCATCCTCCTTGAATGAACCAAAGCAAGATCAACAAAAAGTAAACAATAACGTGTAAACACAGAAAGCAACAAACAGCGTTGTTTTCATTTAAAAACTCTGAAGACCAAGGTGGAAACTCAAACCTACAGAATGTCTGAGACGATTTATCCACAACACTCATTAACATGTTGCAGTTTTTTCTACTCCTGGATCTGTAAGAAGTCACACAGAGAAATACCTTATGTGGTTATCTCAGGCAGCAAAGCCCCACCCATTAGCATTCTGTTTATGAGTGGCAGCCAATAATATGGAAGTGGCTTAAAGAGGGAGGGGCTAAAATGCTGTGCCAAGGTGCATATTTTTGTATCTATTTGATATTAAGCAAATATTGGACCAGTATTGCCGATACCAATACTAATAATGTGGCAACCTCTCAGTGTGTCATAACTTATTTGATAATTCTGGACATATTTTAATGATCACTAAATCACAGTGAATTTAACTTTCCACAACAAAAGTAGTAGTTTGAAGTAGTAGTAGTTTGAAACTGGGATTTTTTAGAGCTGGAATTTGAATGGTCCTGTCAGTGAAGCCCTTTGGCTCAGCTTCTGCTGTTTAAAGGTTTCACAGGCTGTTAATACAATATACAGTCAAAACACAAAGATATTTATCGATACAGCATTAACATCAATGCTATTCTGTACGTTTGATGAACTGAAGGTCCAGTTTAAGATAAAGAGGGCTTATTTTGAACTTTAACTCATGTTAAGCTACTGTAGAAACCCAGGATAAACATCTGGAGCTGGGACTGAGCAGTGGTGTGAGCTAAAGTTATTAATATCATTAATAGCTCAGCAATAATCATGTAAAGCTGCACACATGCCAAATACAATCAATAGAGATCAATAATTAAGGAACAGTTTCAACAATCTGGTAACGTTTAAATATGTTTACGGAAGATTTATTGGTTGTAAATGATCCATGTGGTTGCGGATAGAGGTGAATGATCAGAGTTGTGACTGCTGCTCTCTGAGCCCTCCCGGCGGCTGTGGCTCCGCAGTGTCCCGCTGCTGTCGCGCTGCTCTGGCCGCATGTTGTTTAGGAGCAGCGGGGACACCCCACCTACCAGTCACATCCAGGCGGCTCCGGTTCTCCCCGACATGTCGCCGTCCGTGTGCGGCCCCCCGGGTGCTCCGTGTGCGCCTCCCGCGAAGCTTCGCAGTTTTTTCGGGAACCTCGAGTAAAGCAGCTCAAAGTTTCCTGAAACTATTTTAACTCCGTCTGAGGAAGGAGCACCTCCTCCACCTCCCCTTCCGCTCTCCCAGATTTAACCTCTCTGATCGTTAAAGTGACCGACGGCACGAGCGCTAACGGTAACGGGACGGTACTTGGAGTACTCCGGTGTGCGGGTGCGTGAGCCCCGAGTGGGGACTGTTAGGTGCAGTCAGGAGCGCGGTGTGGTTGCTTTAGTTGCAGGAGTTGCCCCATCTTGTTGCTGCTGCGGTCAGCTTGGCTGCAGAAGTTGCTGTGTTGAATCGTACACTGTTGTGTCAATGGTTGCCTTATGTGGTTAAGGTTGCAGCTATTGTTTCTATGGCTACTTAGTTGCACCTAAGCTTGTTTTGCTTTAGTTGCTTTTGGTTTTGGAATATTTGCCATCTTAGTTGCAAATTTTACTAGTTGGTGCTGTGATTTGGTCTAGTTGCATATGCAGGCATTCTCACTGTGGTTGCTGAGGCTGGTTACAGGTGTTGCTGTAGTCGTGTATGTTGTGCTTAGATATTTGGTTTTGGGGCAGAAGTTGCTGCATGCAGAGGTTGGCCAACTGAGGATGTTGCCGTGGTTGCCTCGATGTGAACCTGAAGGTTCGGGATGTTGAAATGATCTTTGTTGCTGGATGTGGATCAGAGTTGAACGGAGATTCGCTGAAACACACTCTGGGTGCTTTTCAGTAAAATATTGGAATCTTTTAATAACTTCATGTCTGTGTTGGACTCGGTCCAGGTGCGACTCTGGTCCAGGTTCAGGTCCAGCTGATTCTCTCCTCGTGGGAAACATCTGCACAGCGGCAGTGAAGGGGTTACGGTTGCCGGTGTCCAGTTTCACCATATTTTGGAGATGACGACTCAGCGCAGATGAAGAATTCACAACAACAGAGGAAACACCACAACATTCCTGCCATCGAAGCTCCGTCCTGTTACTGAGCTCAGTCAGAACTTCCTGTCTGAGCTGATGATCATTTAAACATAAAATACTAAACACTCAGTTTTTATGACTTTAACTGAGTTTAACTGCTTGAAGACGCCACCCTGGATGTGTGACTGTTTCCTGAAAGTTTAAAGACCAGATTACAGGTGGTATAAAATGAATAAATGAATGTCCCTCATTTCTTTTCCATCCATCTGTTAAAGTAAACTCAGGAAAAACAGAACTAATGATAATTAATAAAAAGACAAACGTGCTTTGTTTAAACATTTACACCATTTCTTAAATTCATTTTTAATTTTTTTAAGAAACAAAATGTTAAATTTATTATGCAAATAAACGTAGCTTAGCTTCACATTCAAAGTGTGGTTGTCTGGCTGCACCACGGCAGACAAAAAGGCACTTCAGAGGGTCATTAACATCAATCACTGGACATCCTGAAGGACCTGTGCAGCTGTGTCAGTGTACTCAGAGACCAGGTTACATCAAAAACCTCTATTTTCTGCAGTATTGGCTTGATTGTTACACCCCAGTCTACCGTCGTGTTCAGCGCTGTCAGATGTGGTTTTTTCAATGACCACTGACAAAAAAGCCTCATTTCTGCTGTTCAATAACAAAGAAATGTAAACTTTTACAAATGATTGCTTAGCTGTGTCTCTAATCAAACCTCTGTAACTTTGCTCTGCTTCATCTTCAGCAGCATCAGGTAATGTTCAGATGTTGATTCATGGTTTTCTTCTGTTTTTCATCTTTCTGTGTTACCTCAGTTACTTTGACACAAAGACATCTGCTGATGCTCACACCTCCGAAGTCTCACAAGTGCCAGCTTTGTGTTTATACATGGATATAAAAATATAGACTGTACGGATAAATGACCAGAATTATAATATTTCTCACTGAATCTGAATTGAATCAGTTATAGAAATCGATACCCAGCCCTAGCAATAGCCCTAATCAGTGCTAACAGCTGGCATGACTGCCTCCCTGGACTTTTGGGGGGCAATTATGTGCAACAAACATCCATTCTAGAATTTATTATGTCATACTTTTTTGCACTTTTATCCACTTTAAATTTTACTGTGTTGTGTTTATTTCTGGCGTGGGACAATTTTCCAATGTCATTGTACTATTGTACTAAATATGACTGAAACGACAATAAAGAGTTATCGTAAAATTGTTTTATTTTAAAATCAGAACCAGACAGTAAAGGAAAACTAAATCACTGATCAAAACCAATACCAATGCTTCATTTTACCACTATAAAATTTAAAGTCATCACTGTTAACATTACAGTCATAAATCTTTTAAGAGATCATTTCACACAACTCAACTTCAATTTCAACACCCAGTGTGACAAACACTGATATAAACTACAGCTACATGCTATGTCACGCGTTGTTCTGTAGATTAGAATAATTAAAAATGATAATAATGAGAAAATGACCAATTCTTCACTAAATTAAAGGCATTTAGATTTTTTAGTGTATTAAATATCGGTGGATCTTATGTTAAAGTGTGGAAACGCTTGTCATGTATGATAATCTCTGAGTTTTGGAGGAAGAAACAGGACAGAACTTTTTATGTATTTGCATGGCAGCAGTTCCCCCTGTGGCCGGCCGGCGGCGCTGTTTCCACAGTTGGCGAACTGCCTGTATTTGGTTGAAGGACTATGTTGTAAAAATCTTTCAAACTGTTAATTTTCGGAGTTTTCGCGACTCCTCCGCAGGAGTGCTCGGTGGGTTCGGGGCCGGCGTGACCGCCTCTTCCCGGGGACAGGCGGACCGTCCCGCCTCGGACAGTGTGGCGCGGGTGCTTAGCGGTTTTCTGATCTCTGGAGGTTTTTGCTGTTAGCTCCGCAGCTAATCCTAAAAGTCGCATCAGCTGTGCGGATTAAAAGTTTCCCCACAAAGCCGGGCCCAGGAGGAGGCTCTGCTGGGCACATTTAGGGAACTTCATCGCGGCTGTTTCTGCGTATTTTTCGCGGTTTTACGCAGTCGTAAAAAATAACATTAGCGGCGCAGCAAGTGAAGCCAGCTGTGGGTCATAAATGTCGCCGTGGCCCGCAGTCACACGCGGATAATAAGGTTTTCGTAAGGAGATGCGGTAAAGAGAGGCGAGCTTCGCTGTTCAGCCCGCTGACTCGGCGGCTCTGGGTTTGCTGCTAGCGAGGCCTGCAGGTCGGGCTTCCACCGGGCTCGAGTAGAGCCCGTAGCCGCCGTCAAGCGGTTGAAGGCCGGCAGACGGCGCAGTCGGGCCTGTGGACCAAAGTATGGAACGGATGGAAGTGGACCAGTGCGCAGGCGCAGGAGGCGGGGCACTTCGCAGGTCGAACAGCGCCCCCATGATCACGAGTGTCAGGTTAGTGGTTCTACACCACACGTTGAACTCCGTCCAAAAGAACTTAAATTTTAATGTATTGATCACAGAAAGCTCGAAGGTATTATTTTAATAGATAAAGTAAGTCATCTTAATACAACAGTCCTGGTCTTTTATTCGGCTTAATGCCAGGTGTGATGTAATAAAATTAAATGTTTATTTTACTTGTGCTTATTTTCACTTAGAGTTCTACGTGATAATAATAGAACTATACAGAAAGATTGTAAACATGGCCAACTTATTACTGCTTTTATGTTCGGTAATCTTCTACTGTGATTACTAATGTCTTAGCTTGAAAGTAGCAGCCACTATAGTCTATATAATAATTAGTTTAAACTACAGTTTATTTACACATGAAATAATTTGCAAATCTAAAAAATGTAAATATGAGAAATTAAAAAATTCTGTGGCTACTTGGATAAAAATAAAAAACACTCCTGGCATCCTTTTTGATTTTTGTACTTTGAAAATCATTAAACAGATTTTAAAAATAACACGTACCATGAGGGCAGCAAGAATCAGTTTGAACCCTGAACATATGAGAACAAAATTTTAACATAACTGTTTAAGATACTGATGCCAATAAATAGAGTTATTTATATATTTAAATATCCAAACCTCGGTTCTGTGAAAATTACACGAGAGGTTATTGATTATCTTATTTATCACGTTATCTGTCTCTGTCAGCGACGGGATGACGGTCTTCGGTCCCGTGTCCTCGGCTCGGTACAGACGCAGCAGCATCTCCATCAACCCCAGCTGTCCCTCGCAGGTCAGTAGTGCTGCAAAAACTTTATTTACCGGAAAATGTTCATAAGCAGTGAGATAACACAGTGTTTAAACACACCTGATCTGAAGCGTCAGGTGTTTCCTTTGAGCTGTAGAGGTCGACCGAAACTGAAACCAGAAGAGACAGAGAGCTGCACAGGAACCAGACGTGACAGCTGCACCAGCTTTGAGAAAAACCCTCTGATCTGGATATTAAAGTTTTTATCGAGGGCTGAAACTGGAAGGTCTCATCAACCAATCACAGCTCCCCTAACTGCACCTCATGCCGATGTTTATGACTGCTCGTACGCTTGCAGAAGGAAACAAGGAGCCAACTGCACTCATGTTTTACTGTTCAACATACTTTTAACTCAAAATGTTCAAGTACTGAGGAGAAATTATAAGATAAGCACCACATTTGACCTTTTAATCTGCCGTTGAAACACAGAGCAGAGCTAGTCTCTAATCTGACGATCATCATAGACGCTGGGCCAAACACCACGTTCTCCTCCGACTTCAAATTCAAATTTTATTTGTCACGTACACAGTCATACACAGTACGATATGTAGTGAAATGCTTGGACAACTGCTCGTGACCTAAAGAAAACAAAAAAGGAAAAGACTATGAATAAGATAGGAAATAAATATGAAAAATTAAAAAGGGTAAATTTAACTAGGAAGGAATAAAATATAAATTAAGGTTAAAAATGAAATAACTGTACAACACAAATTAGAATGAAGGGTAAATTTAACTGGGAGAATAAGAAAAATATATAAATTAAAGTTGAAAATAAAATAACTGAACAACAAAATACACAATATAGAACTATATAAGAATGTATGAAGAAATATAAATAAATATATACACAATAACAGCAGCTGTACAAGTATTAACTGGAAATGAAGAATATAGTGTCCAGTGTTGTGCGATCCACTTCTCTGTAACTTTGTTTTTGTACTTTTGTCTTCACCACAAAGATCAGCAGCAAATATCCAGTCAGGACTTCCTGCTTGGATCCTTGAAGAACTCAGCAGGACTACAAACAGTGATAAAAGTCAGACTAAACTGTGATGAGCACTTTGACTGCATCTGTTCTGAAGTTAAAGGATAAACTGTGGAGATCACTCAGAGTTGGAAAAAATCTCGAGACAGTTTTCAGATCTAATAATAAAACGTTTATTCATGTTGCACCTTTTTAACTTAAGTTCAGACAGCAGGGCCAGAAATACACCAGGATGTAACATAGAATAAAAAGGGTCAGACAATCGATTACAAAACGATCAGTGATGATAGAATCAAATCAAATGACCTTCTCTCTCGACTCAGCCTGATGGAAAAGCACAGTTCCAGCCTTCAAACAAAGATGGCAGCACAGCTTACAAACTCACAGCTCGTGACCTCTGACCTGCACAGTCTGAAGCTTGTCCTTTAAATGATGCTCTCTTCATTTCAGCTTCACGTAAACCTTTCAGTCCACTTTTTATCCGTTTTAGCCTCTTTGAGCTCCTGTTTTACACATCTTTCCTCTTTCAGCTCGTCCCTCTGTCTCCTTTCTCTCTGACCGGATACAGACTCGACCACAAGAGGCAGGTGAGGACAGACTTCCTGCTCTGCTTCCCGCCAGCACGCCACTTTCTTTCTCTTTTTGCTCAGCATCGTCTACAACATGTTTAAGCTATTTTTAAATCAAAGAGCAGTGCTTCAGTGTCTGTGTTTGCTTCACCTCAGGAGGAGAACACGGAGATGACGCTCAGAGGGACTCTGCAGAGACTCGGGTAATCCAGAAACTCTGCTTCTATCTTTGAGGTTTAAACAAGCAGTCGGTAACCCTCTGTCTCTCTTCCAGTCCTTCCAGTCTGGTCCCAGTTCCTCCAGGCAGCCAATGGCACAACCACACATCAGTGGTGAGCTTCTCCACTTCAGCTTTCATGCTGCCTCACTCTTATTTTGATGGTTTACAACCGCACTTCCTGTCAGGATGCTTTATTCTTTTCTAACCTGCTTAGCCTCATGGGTATTGTAGTTTTTAGACCAATAAGAAAGAGCTTTAGTTTCGAATGTAGTTTGAATCTCCTGACTTGGAGCCCTGAAACTAAACCCGATCAAACAGTGAATGAAGTTCATTTAAACTGGAGCATTTTCTTCTTCAGTGGTTTCCGTCACACGACAGCGGCGTCACGCCCAACTCATCCCCAAGTCCTACCAGGAGGTTCAGGTTTGTCTAACGCCTAAGCCTGATTTATTGTGTAGTCATTGCGCCACTGTGCTGACGAATGTGTCGATTGCCCCGCAGACCTGCGGTCAGCACCACGGTGAGGTGGCCGGCGTTGACTCCGCTGAAGAGGAAAGGTAACCAACATTTTACTGTGGATCATTCTTATTCTGCAGTCTTGAAACAAAAGTGTGTAAATCTGTGAAAACTCATCCCTCAGGGGGGGTGGAGTCAGATGGACCCCCAAAGAAGCTCTTTGTTGCTGGGGTGACAGACCCCACCCACCACAGCAGCTACACAGTTAGGTGAGGATCACCTGAGAGATGCATTGTGTTCCAAACCTAAAACGTGAAACCTGATCTTCCTCCTCTCTTCTCAGCGTCTCACAGTCAGCGGCAGACTCTCCTCCTGTGGGAGGGTCCATTCCTCAGTCCCACCCCCTGTCTCTCTCGCCCCCACCCGCCTTCACTCCCTTCACCTCCCACCAGCACCCTGGACACTAAAGACCAGCTCACCTCCAGTCCCGACCCGTCACAGTGGGCACAGACCGCCCGTCAGCAGCTGGAGGAACTTCAACCTTCATCACATCGTAGATCTGTTCCAGTCATCCACCAGTGTCCCTGTAAGCCCCGCCTCTGTAGATTTCCAGCTGTCCCCATTGGCTGATTGAAGATTCATCTCCACAATCATGTCACTTTGTGGCTCCACCCCACTGCCATCAAACAGTGCCGAGAGGACTCGACATCAGTGTCATCGTGACATCATGAAGTAAACTCGGGAAACTTTGTAGGACTGAAGACACGCTGGTTGTGTAATCGGGCTGAACGAGCGCAGCTTGGAGTGAAGGGGTTTGTGGGTAATCCTTACGTGAACATGGAGCAGAAATTGGGACTGAAGAAGAAAGAGGAAAAACCAGAGGATGTCCCATTCTTTGGCTTCCTTTCTTTAAAAACGCGTTGAAGACGGATCTCGGCTCGTGGAAGGACGAAACCTGGAGGCTCCTGTCCAAACGGACCAATCAGCTGATGCTGTTCATGTTCACGTTCCTGTTTCTCTGTAGTTTATTGTTGAGATAGTTCAAATGAGGTCCTGAGTTGTATTCAGGACTTAAACGCAGACCGCTGTCCGGACGGTCTTCGGAGGCACTTCAGGAACATTTGATTTCCTCTTCAATCGACGGGATCGGAATCAAACTTGGAAACTTCAGCAGAACTTTTGTTTCCTGAAGTTGCTTTTGTACAATCTCAGAAATCTTTCTGTAAGGAAGACATAGAAATGATGAGGTTTATTTAGAGGAATTCATGAGTGTTCATGATCATCTGGACTCACAGCCCTTCATCGAATCAAGGATCATTCCCGATCCCAAAACCACATGAAGGTGGGCTGAAGCTCTGCCTCTGAACAACACTTCAGCCTTCGAAGGCTTTTTGTGTTTTAATGAAAACTTCCAGTTATGGGTGAGACTGAATCCTTCTGGTTTTGTCAGATCTCAGTTGGAGGCCGTTTTTAAGCCGGTCTCCAGTAAGAGGAAAGAGGTGGTTTCTTGTTAATAGTGTATCTATATGTGAATACTTTGAGCAGCTGGTGTGCGCTGACCTTCCTTCGGCCTGCAGAAAGAAGCCGTGCTCTTCCTCCTCTGAGATACATTTATGATTGAACTCGTTCAACCCACTAAAGTTATTTTGCTTGAGCCTGCTCTGATTTATCAGCCACACCTGACCTACAGAGAGTTTAGAGTGTTGAGTGCTTCCTGAGGCCGTTTGACGGGGGAAGCTAGACTGCAGGTACAGGCCCCCATAAAGAGAGGGGCCGGTCAGTTCTTCAGCGTTAGCAGCATTTAGTTACATGAAAGCTCACTGACACCAAAGCAACAGTTACCAACATCAGTTGACTTGATGTGGTTTTGGATGTATGTGCCGTGTGGTGTTACCATGAAGTATTATCCTCGTGGTGCAGCAGCCGTAACGCCGGCCTGCAGTGTAAACAGTTGTATTTGCTGCTGAAGGCTCGCCGTGCTGAAGGCTCCATAAGGTTCAAAGTTCACGCGACATGTCAGTGAGCAGGTTTGTGCTGTAAGAATATTACAGCAATAAATAAAGGTGGTATGGTATTCCTGCTGGAAGCACCAGTTCACCGGTCTGGATATAATGATGTTCCTGTGATGATGTGAGCACAAATCTGAGGTCAGGGGTCAGAGGTCGGAGGCGGTGCTTTATGTGGACGAGCTGCAGTTCTGCTTCCAGCGTTTGCACAGTGTTGTACAGTTTCCTACGATCACTCATCGTGCCTGAACATGTCTTCATTTGGGAGGAGCGGCGGTCGGGTCAAAGGTCAGGCCTGAGGTTCAGTGAGACATGTTTGTAAATAGTCTCTATAAGCTCTTTGATGAAGTGTCTTTATTCCCAGTTAAAGAGAAAGACCCTCTGAGCGTTGGTCGCCATCGGCGACGCAGACACAAAAGCTTTGTAGTTTTTTTTAGAGGCAGATTATATTTTGCCGTCACCACTTTGCACAGTTTGACCATTTTATCGTCCTTTCATTCAGAGACTGATGACATAACCTCGTGGAAGGATGCTGTCCAGTTCTGCTGCTTTTTCTGTTCTTGCTTTATTGTCACGACTCTGAGTCTGTCCTGTTCCAGACGCTCTCACATGGCGGCTCGGGGTTCGTGAGCAGGCCCACACCAAAGTCTTCACCTGCTGAAATGTCTAAAACAGGGGTGGGCACCTCCAGGCCTCGAGGGCCCCTGTCCCTGCAGGTTTTAGATGTGTCCTTGAAGCAGCACAGCTGATTTAAATGGCTAAATTAGCTCCTGCAGTTCTCCAGAGGCCTGGTAACGAACTGATCATGTGATTCAGGTGTGAGATCTAAAACCTCGGGGCCTGGAGCTGCCCACCCCTGGTCTAAAAGGAAAAAATAAACTATTATTTAAATTTTTAAAAAAGCAAAACGTGTCAAAGAAAGATGTAAATCAGACATTTACTGATTCTTCTGCTGCGTTTTTCATGCAGTTTGTCTGAATCAGGACTCATTTCCAGTTTGAAGCATCTGAAGCAGGACAGACTTTCCTCAGAGGTCACGACACGCTGCCAAATTCTAGTCGCTGTTCAGACAGACCGTAGCTTTAAGACAACTTCCTGTGTGTGTGTGTGTGTGTGTGCGTGTGTGTGTGTGTGTGTGTGATAAACTTTGCACAAGCGCCATCCCATGCTGTCGGTAGCTCTGGAGAGAGGAGGTGTTATGTAGCGGGACAGAAATGTGACGGACTCGGGTTTAAACGTCTTCGGTGTTTCATTGTCGAGACTCTCGTCCTGCAGGTGTCTGAAGTCCAATATCATGTTTTTATTTTTATATGTGATGCACGTGTCCAGTGTGATTGGAGGTTTTCGTGTTGGACATGGAGCTGTTATCCGTTACATCCTGACACGGACGGATTTTGATGCAGAGGCGAGGATGTGAGCGCTGTTCTCAGAGGTATTGCTGAAAGTTTTTCAGTATTAAAGGAGTATTTCACTCTGGCAGAGCGCCGAGAGTCAAACGTCAGAAATGACCCTGGGGGGGCCCCGTAGTTCCCCCGCCTCCATCACACTGTAGAGGTTCAGTTTGACAGCAGCTCAGGCTTCACCTTCATCTGAGTCTCCATCAGTGGATGGAAATAATGTTTTGGCTCAGCCTGACACCACAGCGCCACCTTCAGGGCCCACACAAACTACGCCTTACCTACTGGGTTTTCAGACTGCAGAGGCGTCGCCTGTGATCATGTGACCAAGACTTCCCTGTCAGTCACATGGTAACAGCTGGCTGATACCTGTGTTTCAGTAAACAGGCTCCGCCTCCATGAACATCGAGAGCGACCTTCAGCTGGTTTCATAGTTTTTACTCACGCTCATCAGCAACATTAAATATTTAACTTTGTAATGAAGAGAAAAGCCTGTTTTTATTTTTCTGAAATTATGAAAGTCGGCGAAGGACCAGAGTGAGATACGACTTTAACAAAAGGGCTGCTAAGAGTTTTATTGTTGAGGACAAAGGGAACTAAAAGCACATCAGTCACACGTTCACGTGTAAATACTTGGACTTGTCTACGTGGATGAGACGATGTATTTTTATGCAACTGAAACATTAAAGTCTATATTCAAGTGTTCATTCCCTCGAGACGTTCTCACGGCTGTACGAGAAAAAGAACGACTTTTTAGTGGAAACTGTTCATGTACACACTATAAATATATATAAATATTATATTGTATATGAAAAATACCAATAAAAGAACGTCTGTACCTTCACATCGGCGAGTTTGTTCTCGTCATTGTTACGAGACTCTGGTGTCAACGTGGCAGCGTCACAGAGGGACGATCGCTCAGAGAACCTCTGCTCTGCTCGAGCGACGCACAAAATGAAGCTTTAAAAACAGATTTACTCATTTTATCAGCTTTGATTTCTTCCAGACACACTTTAGCAAATATCAGGCGTCTGAAAATCAAGTTATAAACGTTTAAACTTCAGCCTGTCCCAAACCGTCCTCATCAGGTTACGAAACAAACTCGTATCCTCAGATTTGTGTCTGTTGTCCAAAGTTTGCCTCAAAGCAAAGGAAGAAAAACACGTCAAACAGTTGTGAGTCAAGTTTATTCAACATAATTCAAACTGCTTTTACATCAGACCCTCAGCGATGAGGTCACAAAGCTCACTGCGGATACCGTCGTGGTTGCCATCCACTACCCTAAGGCGACTGAAGGAGACTTCCTGTCACCTGACCCCATGTGCCGAGTCATTTCAAGCCCCTCTGAGCCTTGAAGCTCCACCCACACCACCTCATCAAAAAGCCAGCTGACAGCCGCTCTCCTCTGAACAGGAAGTTGTAAACATGCGATGATGTCAGCACGATGAGCAGAGCTCAGCAGGACGCCAGCTCAGAGCAAACCGAAGCTTCAGAGCGGTGGTCGCCTTTGTGGGGGGGGTCAGAGTCGACCCTCTCAGTGCTTCACACTGAAACGAGCCAATCATGAAAAAAATCACGGCCGCCTTTTTGGTCGGCTTGTTGTCGTAGTGATGATGCTGGTCAGCACTCATAATGCTGGTGTGGGAGGGGCCACGCACTGTGTAGTGGCGTTCACACATCCAGGAGAGCGCTGAACCTCCTACCATCAAATCATGTTTACTCTGAAGGTGGAGGTTGGCCGCTGGCACCACGTCCTGCAGATTCAGGTGGGCGGTGCAGGTCAAAGTCAGGGGTGGGGTCAAATTTGGAGGCTCAGAGGTCAGAGGTGAATCTGCACATGAGTATCTGCAGGCAAACGTTGTCTTCACGATAACGACGCTCACAAACTGACCTGAAACTCAAACTGACGAAAATAAAAAAAATATCTGCATCACTACAACAGAAGAAAAGTCCGACTCGAGCTTCATCAGGAAAAAAAATAAAATAAAACAAAGTGAGAAAGTGAGGCGGCTCTGGAGAGGTCAGAGGTCAGCGGGACAGGAGGGGGAGGTCACTGGAGTTCATGATGAGGCTGGAGTCCAGGTTGAGGCTCTCTGAGGAGAGAAGAGGAGTTTATGGACAAACTGAAGTGAGTCTGCAGGAGCTCCACGCCTTCACACCCGCGCCACACTGACCTTGATCAAAGTTCAGCTTCTTATTGGACGAGCCGTCTCCAAGGCCTTCGATGTCCACCAGGTCACTGTTGACGTCCGAGTCGTTCAGAGCGCTGAGCGTCACGTCTGCAGGCAGAAGGACAGCTCGGATTAACAGAGAGAACCTCGGAGCGTCTGAGGCCTCGGGGGTTAAAGGTCAGCACACAGTGGCAGGAAGTCCAGAGGTGCACAGTTCTTTATCTGCACCTGGGCCTCAGCTCAACCTGTCTAAAACCAGCTGCTTTAGCTCCTCCCCCTCTTTCTAACCATCATCGTCCCCTGTCTGTGACATCACACAGATCAAAGAAAAACGCAGCGGATCTCACCTGCTGTCTTTTGCTTCTTGATGGGCGGGGCCAGGGAGGGGCTGCTCTGCATTCCAGTGGAAGCCACGACTTGCGAGGTCGGCACGGAGATGATGGCGGACGCGGCGGGCGCCGGGGTGGGTGTCATGGCGACTGGAGTTTTCTTGACGCTCTTCTTGGGAGACTCGGAGGAAATGGGCACCCGGCTGTCCTCATACAGCTTCCTCTTCACCGTGCTCTTTATCTGAGCTCTGCAGAGGAAGAGGAGCGGCTGTCAGCCAATCAAAGTTCATTCTGCTTTTACATCCTTAAAGGAAACGCTTGAAATTTTTTAAGAGAAAATATTCAACAGTGAAGCCTTTAAACGTGTCACGTGAGCATTTATTGGCGTATCTATGAGTTTTGCGTCTGCAGTCCTACAACAACAACCCGACACCAAAGAGTCTCACTCCTGTTTCCTACATTCATGTCCTCCGTCCATTTAACACAAACAGCAAACATGAAGTGACCTCCATGCGTTAGCGGAGCCCTCCTTTAGTTTTGATTCCCTTCATGTTGTCACGTTTCCTCCGGCGACCTCGTCTGATTCTCGTTTCCTGTTTTTGTTGAACGATTCTAAAACTAAACGTCTTCATTAATAAAAGGCAAACTGCTCCTTTAACACTCACACTGTGCGCTCTTTGATCACCGTGCTGATGTTGTTGAGGTCGTCTCCAAACCGACGCACAGCCAATCGCAGCATCTCGATCTCTGTCTCCGTCCACTTGGCCCTGAGGACACAAACACGGCATCAGTTCACAGAAAAACTCAAAACATGTCGACAAACCGCTCACGTCCAAACACGTGAAACCACGCTGCTCGTTTCCAGCTGGGTTTTATCCCCCCTGCATGTGTGTGAGGCTCACATTCAGTTTATAGTTTACAGTTAGCTGTAGTGTTTGGTCACAACCAACTGACACTGTGTCAGTAATGCAGCCACTTCCTCTGTGTGTGTCTGTCTCACCCTGCAGGGCTGGAGTCGGACACTGGGTGGAGCTGCATGGTCAGCTCTCCCAGCTTGGTGAAAGCTGCGCCAGCTGCTGAGAAGATCTCGCCCACCTGCAGGAAACACAGCCATCAATGCTCCGATTTAAACGGTGACCGTAGACATGATCTACGCTGCACACCACCTTTAACTGCACACTCAGGTGCTACACCACCAGCTGTGTTTCCCTCACTGTAAACATGGAGCCCTATCACAACCTGGATCAGGTGTGCACCACATGTATATACACTCATTCACTGCATTTCTAAACAATCTGAGGAAAAAGTGAAGCACAAAGCAGATTTACTCTGAGCTGAAACAGTGAGCTGATTTATCAGGACTCTCTCTGCAGTACAGTCAGTGCGATGTGTGGCTGCATCTGAAAGCTGTTTCTGGTTCATCATTTGTCTCTGATAACAACAACACAGCGTCACTTTTAACACATCTTGCTGTCATGGTGAGGCGATAGTACCGCACTGCTTCTAATCAACTGGATTTCTGCGCAAAAATTTAAAAAAAGCTCTGGGTGTCCAGTATGTGCCGAATTTGCCTCTACTTTTTATAATTTAGGAGGGAAAAGATATTTAAAGTATATTTCATGACGCTCTTCTTCATGATGCAGCAACTGAATTACATTGAGTTATGTGTGCAGCTACATGACCGGTTCTCTACAAGTTGGCTGTTAAGCTCAATTTTTGCACTTACGTAAAAGAAAAAAAAACATAAGCAGGTGAAAGCTTACTTTAGCAGAGGCTGACGTCATTTCTGAGCCTCAGGTGAAAAAAAATATTATTTTGAAACAAACGGTAGCTAGCTGTTAGCTACAATTAGCTCCTATGAGCTTAGCTAGCTGACTTCCGTTAGCGGGATTCCCAAGATTTAAGATCCTAAACTCGCGAAGCTGTGCGGGACTCGCGTCCGATGAGAAGTTGCGGTTTAATTTGGTCATTTATGAATTACATATTCAGAAAGAAAAATTATAAATATCACAGCAAAGACAAACGGGAAACAGAGAATGATGCGCGACTTTGCAATTTAAACGCCATTGGCCAATTTGACAGGAAAAGGCGGAGTGTATGGGCACAGGATATTTCATTGGTCGCTGGCCTGCGGCTTACGAACAGTACCGACATTCGCCGAATAAAGCCGAGCGGTGAGATCAGCTGACCGAGCGGCTTCGTTCTTCGATGGGTCCTCTTTCAGTTTAGAGTATAATAATAGTAATAATAATAATAATAATAATCTTTTGATCGATCAAAGGGACGCGGACATGCCGTCGCTGCTGTTCTGCGGGCCGAAGATGGCCGCGTGCGGGATCGTGATCAGCATCTGGGGCGTCATCATGCTGGTAAGATCACGAAGGGACCGACTATTTCCTGGAAGGCTAAGGAACTACCAGTGGGGACTCTGTATTTGGATTAAATATAATGTTATTATGAGCAATTTTTTGCTGCTAATTTTATTCGAAGTTGGTAAAACTCTCAACGCATTTCAACGCTGACTGGCTAATCACTGAATTCCAGTACTTCTCGGGTACATAGACGGAGCCCACGTAGGCCGATCTGAATGCAGTTCTGCTGGTTTCACCCTCCTTGACCTCCTAAGACCCGAACTCTTCCATGGCATGGATTTTTAATTTCTCTTTGAAATTTGGGCTGATTGGGACCTGATGAATGTAAAAACAAAGAATCGCGAGATTTGTTTATTTTTTTACCTGAATTTTGTTTCTAAGAAAAATGAGAGCCACATATGAGGATATTCGTTTAAAATTTTGATAAAACAGTAGCAGCATAATGTCCTCCCAGCCCATTGTTCCTTCAGTGGGCTGGTTTCAGTCATTATGCAAATGTCCTGTTTGTAAGAGTAATGTTTATAACTTTCCTGGATGACTGAGATGCAGAAACACATTTTGCGACTCATTTTATTTCTGTCTGATAAGAAAACTATTCAATCAGATATTTCATTCACCACAAATAACTACAGTTACACTTTCAAGCATTTTTAAGCACCACATCTGAAATTCAAGCACTTTTCAAACCTTGAAAAGACAATATTAAAATTCAAGCATTTACAAGGATTTCAAGCACCTGTACGAATCCTGTTTAAAGGTTCTGAGGTCTCAGGTCTGTCAGTTAAAATATTTAGCAGATCACTTCCTGCTTTTCTTATCAGAATAAATCCTCGGTTGAAGCAGTGAACAGAAAACATTTAAACTCAGTGACGAGGTTCGATTCGTAGCTGTGGCCCTGACGGGTCCCCGAGCCTCATGTTGACCCCGTGTCTTGCTCTCTTGCAGGCGATGTTGGGAATCTTCTTCAGCGCCAAGTCAGCCGTGCTGATCGAAGACGTCCCGTTCACCGAGGATGACATCCATAACGAGTGAGTGTGGGGTTAAAAGCTGCTCGGTCGGTTCGACCCGAGCTTGAGACGCTGCGACGCGTCATGGACGTGACACAGTCTGACCGATGACAAACAGCAGATAAACTCGTCTTCTCCTTTTTTCCCCGCAGTAAAAGTCCCCCTCAGAACATCTACAGTCTCTACAACCAGGTCGGCATCAACTGCTTCATCGCCGCTGCCGTCTACGTGGTGGTGGGCGCCATCTCGCTCTGCCAGGTCCGACTCAACAAGCGGCAGGAGTACATGGTGACATAAAGACCTGCGGCGATGGCCTGACCTTTGACCTCGAGCACCTGGTTCCTGTCCATAAAGTTTATTTATGTCTCAACTCTGGAAAATCTGATTGGCTAAGATTAAAAAGGGGGCGGGGTCAGGTATCACCTGGATTATTTATTTTGTATTTATGTGTTTGTTGTTGTTGTTGTTGTTGGGTGAATTGTTGTTTCATCCCTTTTCGTTGGACATGAAAGTGACCAAAAGTGTGAAACACTCACGTCTGCTCGCCACATTAATCACATTAACAAGGAAACTGGGGGGGCGGAGCCCCGAGGATGCCTTCACCATCAGCTGAGGCGGTTTTATCGTGTCACAGGAACAAAGATGAAGGCGTCGCTCGGGCGTCCTTCTCTGCTCGAACAGATCGGAGGACATGAGGCGGTGCTGTGTCTCTGATGTGGGTCTGTGTTTGCTGGAACATCGTTTGCAATAAAGTGTGTGAGTGGAAAACTACAGGGAGTCGTCTTCATTTCAGTTACTGTGGAAAAATGTTCCTGTTCTGAGATGTGTTTAACAATTCTGAAAGAAACTGATGCAAACAAGCTGGAAGTTGATCAGATTACTAGAGATTCTTTGTTAGTGACCATTCAGCCTTAATGAAGTGATCAGGCCACTAAACCCCACTAACAGTTTTTATTACTCATCCTGTCAAGTTTCAGAGAAACACATGAACATCAGAATCCTCTCAGATTGTTGTGATGGAGCAAAGTCTCATTAAAATCCAGTTCCAAATACATCACACAGCAAAGCTTTCCGATATTAACAATAAGGAGTGTCGTGGCGCGCCAGTAATGTGTGTCTGAGGTGGTAGTCTGTCGCACGGGGGCCCCACAAGGAACAGTACTCGCCCCTTTCCTCTTCACCCTGTACACTGCAAACTTCAGTTATAACACGGACACTTGCCATCTCCAGAAGATCTCAGACGACACCGCCACTGTGGGTTGAGTGTCGGAGGGAAACAAACTGGAATACAGGGGGGTCATCAATGACTTCGTCAGCTGGTGCGAACAGAACCATCTTCGCCTCACTGCCAGCAAGACGAAGGAGCTGGTGATTGACTTCAGCAAGAAGCCACCCCCCATTACACCAGTGAACATCCAGGGTTTGGACATTGAAACGGTGAGGAGTACAAATACCTGGGTGTTCACCTCAGTAACAAACTGGACTGGTCCACAAATGCACTTTACAAAAAGGGACAAAAAGTCGTCTCCACCTGGTACGGCGGCTGAGATCCTTTGGGGTGAACAGGACTCTTCTAAGCACGTTCTATGACACTGTGGTGGCGTCTGCTATTTTCTATGCTGTGGTCTGCTGGAGTGGTGGAATGGCAGAGGGACAGGGAGAAACTTAATAAACTGGTCAGGAGGGCAGCTCTGTCTTGGACTGTCCTGGAAGTCCATCGAGCAGCTTGGGGAGGAGAGGATGTTGTCTAAGCTAACATCCATCATGGACAACTCCTCCCACCCCCTGCATGAGACTGTCGGACCACTGAGCAGCTCGTTCCTCAGTAGACTTTTACACCCACAGCCTGTGGGTGTAAAAGTCACTGTGACTCACAGTGTAGGAAGGAGCGCTACCGCAGGTCATTCTTACAGCAGCTGTCAGACTCTATATGATGATATATATATATAACATGGTTATCTTACTCATCACTGCTACAACTGACATGTCGAATGTTTTTTAATTGCTGCTACTCATTTGCAGTTTGTTTGTAGGCTGTATATTTCACCAGAATCATTCACCCCCACACACACACTAGTGTAAATATCTCTGTACACTTTTATACACATTTCTATACATTGTTTACCTGTATATACGGAGCATCAGTTGGTTATGTATATAGGACCACTTTGTGTCTTCCTTTTATATTTTCTATTCCCCTAAAAGCCGTGTAGCACCCAAATTTCTCATTCGTGGGATAATAAAGGTTTATTCTATTCTAATAACACACTTAGTTTTGTAGCCTTTGCCATCTACAACGTAGTTTTATTTTGTAGAATTTGTCGTATTTCCTGTTCTGGTAGCCCCTGTGACGTCAGCGGCTGAGTCACTATAGTTAACGCAGAGTCCTGCAGTAACTATCAGTAAGAGTTACAATTATGGGGCAATTATGAAAGGGGCAAACAAAGAAACAAACAAAACAAGTAAATAAAACCCGGTCTGCGCGCGCACCTTTACTGTGTGATAACGACATACGTTACTCGGATCCAAGTGGACTGTAACGGACTCGCAAAAACGCGCCAAGTTTAAACTTTGCTGCCGAGAAGAGCGCAGACTGTTTTTCACCGCCATCAAACATCGGACAGAAAACAGAGAAGAGGTCAGTATGAAAAATTCATTTCAGGTTGGAACTGCTGGTTCAACAAACACTCTACAGAAAATGTTTGTTTCAGAAAAGTACCAATTCCTTCATCCACGAAGTTTTAGACGTCTCCTTTTATTCGTCAACACATCACAAATCAATTTGCAGCCCAAACAAAAAGTGTGTTTTTTCACGTTTATCAATATAATGTTGTGTAAAAATCCATCTGAAATGTTCAAAACGGACGGGAATATAAAGGAGGAAGTGGCAGACAATCAGGCCAACAGCTGGCTCATTTTGTTATTTAAATTAAAATAATCTTGACAGGTTTTCTGAAACATTTTGTTTAAGTTTGCCCGTAAGGTGGTATTGCAATAAATATGCAGTAGTTTTGACAAATATCAGACAAAATGAAGTTTAACTGCACACTTTCATTTTCACTTTTTTCTTTGAAAGCTGTCATTAAAAACAGAAAACTGTGCAGTGGAGGAGGCTGCCACGTGCTGTCCTCATTCGTCCTTGTTATTTAATGCCACAGAAGTTCATCTGTTTTATTTGTGTTCTGAGACTTTAAATTTTGTGGATTTTTATTTTTAATTCTTCGGTTCCAGTTACATTCTCTTCATTTACTCCAGTGATTTTAAAGTTGCTGCAGTAACAGTTAAATCTTGTATCTTTCTTAATGTGTCAGACATGCCGAAGATTTCAAGCAGAAAGTGGAAAGAAGCTCTGACTGCCATCATCGATGAGCTTGAGAAGTCACAGTTCAATAAGATGCTGGAGTTACTGAGGAAGATTCCTAGAAGCCAGAAAACTCCCAAGTTCAAGGACAAGATGCCCCAAAAAATCATTGAGCACTACGGAGAGGAGAAATCTATTTCTGCAATCAACCGTGTGATGAGTAAGATCCCACGGAAGGACGCTGTCATCCAGGACCAGCTGCGGCCGTTTGTGCTCACGCTAAAGAAGAAGAAACTGAAAGAAAAGAAAGGTCAGTTCCTCCTGTCACTGCCTCATCCACACATGTGCAGAATATGGTCTTCAACAATTAGAACTTACATGTTACTGGATAGCTTCATTTACAATGTTATAGAATCATATCAGTAAGTTTATATGAAAAAAAATCCAAAAAGTAACTAAAGCTTTAAAATAAACAGAGTCCAAAATAACATGTTTGCATCAAAATACTTCAGTAAAGTATGTGAGTAAAAATACTCAGTTACACTCCACCATGAGTTCTGCCCATACTGTCAGTCGAATGTCGCTTCTTTACATGCTCCACGCAGTCTTTCTTTAACATGTGAACCAGCTGAAACGTCACAATCATCCCAAACTGATTATTAACCAGTTTGTAAGTGACTCATTTTCACAGATTTATTTAACAGTGAAAAACTAGTTTTGAGGTTAAGTGCTCCCTAAATGTCTTTTCAGCCTTTAAGGGGACGCACGCATGTGATCCAGTGATGGGAGGGAGTACAGCCGGTAAGTTCACAATTGCAGGTGTGTGAGGTCGGTGAAACCTGCTGAGTTCTCACTGTAACATGAAGGTTGTTATGAAGCTGTAAATGAAAACTGTGTGCTGAACTTTAACAAAAAAACTTTTCAGCATTTGTGGCAAACGGCACCGTAAGTAAGTCAAAATCTAAGCATCTGGAGCCAGAACCTGCAGCTGGTGAGTCTATTTTGAGTTATTAATACAGAATTTATAACAATATTTATACATACGGGTGTGTCCAAGGTGGTGCTTCTTACTTGTTTTGTCCACCATTTTTTTAGGCAGAAAAGCAATAGCCATGAGAAACTTTCAGGGATGAATAACCCCAGCCGAACAACTTTCTAACCACTCTAAGTGTCACAACCTAAAGAAAGTCTGCTTTTTATTCAACATTTTTAAATAAAACTATCCCAAATTGTCTTGAAGTTTACCCAGAATGGACAAAGTCAACTCAATGTGACTTGAACTTGTTTTCAATCTGAAGACCACCAGGTGGCGATCAGCTGTGGTTACAAAAATACTTCCAGTCCTGTAGAAGTCTCTGTAAAAATTTCTCAATGATTTTATGGCCTCATCATCATTATTGTTTCTGCTGGAGAAAACTGGTGGATAATAGATCCAAATCAGGCAAAGATGTTTGTAAAGGCTGTTGATTAGTGACGTGAAGCAGAATCACTGACATAACTCTATTTCTTTCTTTGTTTTTTAAGATTCAAAGAAGAGCTTCCAACAGGACAAGGTGCGAGTTCTGAAACTCTTCTTTAGCTCACCTTCAGGTTCTTCTGCTGTGATTAGTTGAAAACCCTTCAGTGGTGCAAATGGACCATTGGCTAGCCTTTCAAATTACTTATTATTTTTTACTGGGCACAGGCCTATGGTTGTGGTAAACTCTGATTTAGGTTATTATCAATCCTCGCTTAACAAAATGTGACCCAAAATCTGTCATTGCGAGGTGCTCACCCCAAACTCATATAAACAGGGAGGAGAGGCAAACATCACCACACAGTGACATTTCTTCTAACCATTCCAATCCACTTCTTACATGTGCTCAGAGCCGATACTAAAAAAACATGACTTCCTAACCTAAATGCATCTTTGACATCAGCAGACTATGCCAGGAACTTGCTAGAGCTGTAAACTAAGGTCCCTGTCACACAGAAGTAGCATCAACAAAAGTTTGGCAACCTGCACAGCTGTGCACATTTAAAACCAAACAGCATCAACGTGGTGGATTATGGATATAAGCTCACCAAAAGCCTCTGTTTGAGGTTAGGGCGACGCTATAGGCAGTGGTCCCTCGTTTATCGTGGGTTATTTTTAGAACGTAACTCCCGCGATAAACGACGGACCACTGTATGTGGCGCCGCCCTAACAATCTGCGAAGTAGCCAACTTTATTTTCTACAATTATTATAGATGTTTTAAGGCTGTAAAAACCCTCACTACACACTTTATACACTTTTCTCAGACAGGCATGAACATTTTCACACTTTTCTCTCTTGTTTAAATACTCTCAAAGTTCAAACCTGTAGAAAAATAAGTCCAGTATTATAGAATCAAAGGCACCCACAGGAGCCTTTGACGGTGCAAAACATTTCGTCGACATTGTTGTGTTTGTTGGGGAGAAAACGTACAAGCATACAGTACAGCACTTCAGACTCACACTGCTAGCGATCGAAGATTTATGCCAATTTGACAAGCTGAAGGCATTCTGTACTGTACAGGAGACACGGCACAAGATTGATTGACAATGGTCTACAGCCAATCAGGACGCAGAAGACAATGCGCTGTTTAAAAAAAAAAGCGTGCAAAATTGCAAAACAAAATCCGCGAAACAGGGAGGCTGCAAAAAGTGAACCGCGTTATAGCGAGGGACCACTGTACCTCTTTGTAACCAGGTTCACACAGCAACAGCAACCTGTCACCAATCAATTGGGTAATACTCTTTTTCTTCCAACAACCAGAGATTGCCGGCGATAGCAAATTAGTCTACAGGGGTCTGTCACTGAGGCCTTAACTAATGTTTAGTTTCTGTCATTAGTCAGGTAAACAAACTCTTTACTCTCCATTTAAAGAAAATTAAAGTTGCTTAACAACCTGGTGTATTAGTCAGTGGTACACGGATAAGTATCAGATAATATCTCATTAACATTATGAATGAACTACATGCCTGCACAAGTACATTTGGAGCTGTTATGAGATAAACAGTAAGTACTTTTACTGACAGTCTAACATTTATGTCACTTTGATGGAGATATTTTCCCTCCTTTGTATGCAGAAAAGAACCATCAGTGATGTCAAATCCAGCAAACAAATCCTCGACACAGAAGTAATTGTTGGGAAAGTTCTTCAGAAATCTGGTCTGTGCACATTTAAAATTGACAAGAAGGAGAAGCCATACTTTAACCTGGCAGTTGCTGATGAAACAGACGTCATCAAAGTGGTGGTTTATAAAAATGACCTCTATTCAGAAATCGAGGAAGAGAGGTCCTACTTGTTTATTAAGCTACAAAAAAATGAAGATGTTTTGAAGGTTACTTCTTCGAGCAAAGTGTCTGAGACGAGCGCTGTGAAAGTCCCAGCTGAGATTGAGAAGACTGCTCGGACTCTGTTATGTCCCGAGAGCCCACTGTGCTCCATCGCAGAGGTCAAAACGTTTGCAGAGTCGTCCAAAGCGAGCATCAGAGGAACCATTACAGAGGTGAGTTTTACTGACACCTCAAAGAGCCTCAAGCATAGCAATTCAAACTACTGTTGGCCTCCTCCTCGAAAATCTGCCTAAAACCTTTTTGGTCCAAAGTTTGTACATTTATAATGATTGCTGTGAAATATTAGCTTCATATGTCAAATTGTTTTCTAGATGTTTTTTAATGCTCAATTTTTGGCACTTTGAAATTAGCCTAACCCCACTAACTGCAAGTCTTTGGACTGTGGGAGGACACCGGAGAACCCTGAGAGAACCCACACAAACAGGGAGAACATGCTAACTCCACACAGAAAGACCCCAGCTCAGCTGGTGGAATCAAACTCAGGACCTTCTTTCCATGCCAACCACCGCACCAACATGCTGTCGCTGTCACTTCTGGATGATAGTTGAATTTCACAATACTGGAAAATAAAACATGAGGAACCCAAAACAAAATTCTTAGTCACAAAAATGAAGAAATGCCATTTAACTTTTATGTAAATATGACAAGTTGTACCACAAAAGCAAAATATCAGTCCAGTCGGAATAGAACACAATTCTGGAGTATCCATAAGGTTATGTTCATGATAACGTATATATAACTTTGATTGTCTTGGAGCAGTATTTTAAGTTTAAAATATATTAAGCAGTAAAATAAAGCAATTTTCATCTATGTGTTACAGCAGTGGTTCCCAAACTTTTTTTGCTGGGCCCCCCTTTGTTTTACAAGAAAAATGTTCGCCTCCACCCCCGCGCGTGCGTGCTCCAACCACACACGCCCATATTTTGCTCCATTGCGGTTTATTTCACACCTCAAACATTTAATAAACAATTAAGCAAATACAAGTAATCTGCAATAAATCCCAGGTAGTAAGAAAATAAACTACTAACTCTTTTACGTTGCGTCCACGCCTACACGGGTGTTTTTGAACACGCAGCTGTGTCGTCCACACGTAAACGGCGTTTCGAATCACCGAAAACGGAGATTTTTTAAAACTCCCTCTTTGCGTTTATGTGTGGACGAGGAATACAGAGTTGGTCATGCAACGTCAAAGGTATGTGCCTTTTTTCACGTCACGCTGTGGCCACGTTATTGTTTACATGAGATGAACTGCAGAATGGCAGATAGAGACACAATACTGTTAATCTGACTGTCTGCAGGTTTACACGCAGTTACTGTCCCTCCATTTACAAAGGCAGAGGCGTCACGGTGTGATTATTTTACTGTAGTTGTTTTTTCCTGTGTAATAATGTTCAACATTGCAACAATACATTTTTCAAAAAATGCCTCTCTGTGCAAAATGGGTTTAAAAACATAAACAGCTGTGGGATCCTGTTAGTCTGTGATTTGAACCGGGGGAACAAATCGTGGCAGGATCAGCCTGATGTTATTTGTATCCTGCTGTAACTTTACTGTATAAAGAGCAAACATCTCCAACATGTCAGGAGCAGTTAGTCATTACAACAAGTGTTTGTGAACTAAAAATCAAGAATGTGGGATCCTGTTTGTCCGTGATTTAAACAGCCCAGCGCTGCTCCTGATGCAGGGAAACCAATCCTGCAGGGAGACCTCCCTCAGCACCTGTGCAGGTGAAGCCAAAGGGCAGATTTGCTTCATCATATTTTCTAGTCTTTGGCTTAGAATGAAGTTGGTTTGGAAACATATTCAGCGACGCTTCATCTCCTGTTTTGCGCTTGTGTGAGCGCCCCGTGCTGGCAGTGTCCAAGCGTTGTTTCCCCCCCCCCGCATTAACAGCATAAAGTCAATAAGGGGGAGGATGTTAATGCTTTACATACAGCAAATTGTGGTATCGATCCAAAATAAAGTAAATACGGGTGTTGCAGTGTTGCAGAAACTGATACTTTTAGTCAAAAAAGGCATGTTACACAGCGAGAAGGAACTATGAGAAATGTGTAGGCTTTGTCTCTAATGTTGATTTAATTTTGCAGATGAAAACTCTTGAAAGGATTACTGTTATGAAACAGAGGAAAACCAAGAAGCAAGATTTCCATCTGAAAGACGACACAGATTCCATCAAAGTTTCTGTGTGGGGCGAGAACACTCAGCAATGCAAGGGATTACTAGTTGGAGACATCGTTAAAGTGACCAATGTAAAGACGAACTACTTTCGTGGAGTCACATCCGTTAACTCTACTCCATTCACCAGAATTCGCAAGGTAGCTGCTCTTCATCTGCTGCGAAGAATCTGTATTTATATTTATTAACTATCAGCTGTTGAGACACATCCAGGAAAAAATACACCAACAAATTGCTTAAGATCTAAACTTTACGACTTAATTGATATTTAAGGTATTTCTTAGCATGTCCCAAAGCTTTGCTTGTGTTTCTGCAGGTCTGCAGTGCCAGTTTCCAGACGGGGAGAATTGAAATTAAAGCAATATCCAAAGCCAATAAGACATGGACTCATGTGGTGGCAGAATTCAACCAGCAGCTGCAGACATTTGTTGTAGCTTCTCAACTCCTGGCGAAGGCGTTTGGTGTTAAACTGGATGAAAATTTTAAACAAAAGCTTGTGGATAAATTGCCCCTCTCAACAGTAGCAGAGACACAAGGAAATAAGATACATAAAATAAAATAAAAATAATACCTGAAATTGTTAAACAGGAAAGGGCAAAGTTTTCAAAATATTATAATAAAATAGAAATAATTCTAAAGAAACTTCCAGACAGAAGGAGTGTGGTAAATGGCCTGTATTTGTATAGTGCTTTACTTAGTCCCTAATGACCCCAAAGCGCTTTACATTACATTCAGTCATTCACCCTTCACACACACATTCACACACTGGTGATGGCAGCTACATTGTGCCTGTGTTTGTGCAACGTGATTTAAACTGATGTATAAATCTACCAATGAAACCATGTAGAATAGCTTTAAAACAAAAAGTAAAGGGACGGACGAGCAAACATTATCTGCTGAATTTGTTTATTACTGTGTGATGGTGACACTTGACAGCACACAATGATGAAGACAATAATCCAGTGTATTTACATACAAAGAGTAACACAGTGTTTCATATAGCATACACACGTTAATGCAGCATTTGTTAAAAATACATTTGCGTGGATGTTTACTTCAAGTTTGCATTTTCCACACTGTTAAATCATTTTCTCTTGTTTTGTATTGATTTCTGCTTTAATGGTGCTGAGATAGCTGGTTGCCTGGACGGCCTCTGAAAGGGATATATGTAAATACAGGAAGTGACAGTTTGACTGTAGCATGCCGTATAGAATCCAGAATTAACTTTAAATATGTTATTTGATTTGATTCTTTAGCTCAGCATTTGGTTATTTGTGACTATTGTGATTATTTGGAAACTGTTGAACAGTTTGGTTTTCTTTAAGAAGTTTTAAATTTACTATCAAGCTTTCTGTTCAGATTACCTCTTTTATAACTGTTTAGGGTTTTTTTTTCCAAATGTTAATATGTAAAATATTATTTTTTCTTAAGGTCCCTGATTACTGACAAGCTTTATCTCCAACTATCATACAAAGCAGTTCCACATATGTTAAATTTAATACAAACACTTGAAGATATTTCAGACTACTCAGTGACTAGAGTGACATACTCTTCCTCAGCCCTGTCACTGTTAGGGATCTTTAATTCTACAGATACCTTCTGGAACAGATGTGTGCTTCGGTACAGTCCTGCCTCAGAGCTCTACAAACAGTTCCTTGGACTTCATGGCTTAGTTTGTGCTCTAACAGCACTGCCAGCTATGAGCCTTATACAGACATGTGTGTGCCTTCCCAGATCATATCCAGCCAACTGAAAATAGCACAGGTGGACTCCAGCCCAGTTGTAGAAACATCTGACAGATGATCAGTGGACTCAAGATACACCTGAGCTCAGTTTTGAGTGCCAAACTCCCAGAAAGCCTCAGATCAGCTGAAACACTCAGTTTATTTAAATCCAGGTTGAAGACTCACCTGTTCTCAGCTGCATTTGAATAAAGCACCAAATCCACACTTT